GGAATTCTTTTCTTAATTTCCTTTTTGGATTGTTTATTGTTACTTGTAGAAATGTAACCGATTTTTGTGTGTTCATTTTGTATCCTTCAACTTTGCTGAATTTATTAGTTCTAATTGCCCTGCTTTTAAAATCAAATTAATTCCAACATTTAAATCTTAATTAAATTCATATAAAACTCTAGACTTCCTTTTTGTCATGAAATATTGGAAGATGTGGCACCTCTGAGCTGACATTCCCACATGGCACCCACCGCTTGAGGTCGAGTGGCAGCTCCTGCCTTTGGTGGAGATGAGCATCCTTCAGCACACTCCAGCCCCCCCACCCTTTCTGTCTCTGCTTACCAACCTCATCCACAAGCTCTGCTCTGGCTGGCCCCTCATGCATTGAGCATTCTTCCTACATGTACTTACTGAACACCTACTGTGTACCGGACACTGGGAGTACAGTGCTGAACACAACAGACAAAAATCCCTGCCTTCACAGACCATTCCTTCGCATATATCACTCATTTAATCCTCGAGACAGCCTCCAAGAGGTGGCCTCATTATACAAATAAGGAAACTAAGAGACATAGAGAACTTAAGAGACTTGTCCAAGGTTACCCAGCGGGTAAGGGAATGTCTGGATTAGAACCTGGGCAGCCTGGCTTAAGAATTCAAATTGTCAGCTGCTATTACTTGCCCGTCAGTGGCAGAAGGACCCAGAGGTGAAGACTTGGCAACAGAGGCAGGGTGGCATGGACAGGGGACAGACAGGCCTGGCCAGTGGTCATAGAGCCAGGATCAGGCCTTCTGTGGGCTCCACAGGGTGTGCTGCCAGGGCCGCCTGGCTGGCCTCTGGGCTGAGTTTCCTTGAGGTTGTCTGGATTCCAGGCCCTCTGGTCTTCCCAGCTCAGCAGTTTCCGCCTGGGAGAGGCCGCTTTTCCTTAGCAGACAGCTGATGATCATTGCTGGGCTTGGTGGGAGGTAAAGAGGTAACCAGCAGGTTTTCTCTCTGTGATAGTAAGAGGCCGCCTTGGAAGCAGACAGCTGAGAAAACACAGACCTGGGCTGGCCGGCCCCGCCCTCGGTCGAGCAGCTTCTGCCTGTGAAATGTAAATGCAGGTGGTGTCAAGTTGGCAGACAGGCCCAGCTCCCTCTTCCCCTTGAGCAGGCAGGGCCGAGGCCCCCTGCAGCAGGCCCGTGATTTAGTTGCTCTGGCTGATGAAGAGCTTGGGCCTGGGAGGAGTGTCGCACAGCCCCAGCCTGGTCCGTCCTCAGCCCTGGATTGACGTCCATGCTGTCCTGGAACCGTCTCAGCGGCCTAGTGGGGAACCTGCTTTCTCCTCCATCCTGTGTCTTGGGCTCAGGCATGTGCCCGCTGCCCCTTTGCGGCCACAAGTATGTATCGAGCCCATGGTGGTGCTTGGGACCCTCCCCTGGTGGGCTTAGAGACACGGACGGCCCTTGCTGGCTGGGAGCTGCGGTGAGTGTGTGAAGGGCCCTCGGTCTCCCCTGAGGAAGGCCCTGCCTTCTGGCTCTGCCTGCTCTTGGCTTTCACTGCTCCCAGGCCGTCTCCCATCGGCCTTCCCCAGGTGCCTCCACTTCTCTCTGACTTCTTGCCTGTTTTCCCTAATTCTGAGAGATTGCCTGCCTTCAAGTGCAGGAGAAAGCGGACATCTTCCCCTCAAGCCCGAGACCTACACCCAGTAGAGCTGGCCAACCACCTGCCACGGAGCAGGTCACTGGTGCCTGGGCCAGAGTGCTCGTGGTGCCAGTCTGCTGCGTCTCAGCCACAGTCCCCCTGCTCTGCTGCCCGCAACAAGCCAGAGATGACCTAGTGTCTGACATCTCTGAGTAAAGGGGCCTTTTACAGCCCCTTCCTCAACTCCCTCACCATCCCCCATGCTCCCCGAGCCTGATTCCCCAACATTGCAGCCACCTCCTTCTGGGCACCCCTCTGAGATTCCAGACAGAACCCAGGAGTCCCCAGGTTCCCATTGTGATGCAAGGACAGAACAGAACCCCGGGCCGCAGGCAGGTGGCCAGTGGCTATCCCGCCTCCCACCCCCAGCAAACACTGGCAAACCCCGCTCTCCTTGCATCGGGGTCGGAGTGCCTGGCAGTGGCGACAGTGGAGACGATCAAGGTCAGCACGCCCAGCCCCATGCTGAGGCAGCAGCCTGTCTGGGGGAGGGAGGTGGGGTGGAAGGAGACTCCAACCTTTTGAAAAGGAAGTCGATTCACTTATGTCAGGGTAGGAAGAGTAGGAATACCTATTCTTTGAGACTGAAAAATTACTGGCTGGGCACAGTGGCTCACAACAGTAATCCCAGCACTTTGGGAGGCTGAGGCGGGAAGATTGTTTGAGGCCAGGAATTCAAGGCCAGCTTGGGCAAAATGGCAAGGCCCTGTCTATATATTAAAAAAAAAAAAAAAAAAAAAATTAGCTGGGCGTGGTGGTATGTGCCTGTAGTCCCAGCTATTCGGGAGGTTGAGGTGGGAGGATGGCTTGAGTCCAGGAGGTCTAGGCTGCAGGGAGCCTAGATCGCGGCACTGCTCTCCAACCTGGGTGACAGAGTGAGATCCTGTCTCAAAAAGAAAAAAAAAATTACTGAAAAGCATAAAGATTTTGTCAACTATAATTCCACAACCCAGAGATCCCCACTTTTTAGTACTGTATATTCAATGGTTTTTCAGATGTTTCTTGGACTTAATATGTTGAGCCTTTCCCCATGATATTTAAAACTCTTGATAAACATGGATGTAATGACTGAATGTCCATGTAATGTATATACACATTGTAATTCAGCTGCCCACTCCTCTAAGCGTGGGTATTCAGGGTATTCTCAATTTTAGGACTAAATTAGCAGAAAGGCTGCCTCATGCAAACTGTCCCTACTCCCACCTGGGGCCAAAGGACTTGAGCCGTCCTCTCGTCGGGCACTGAGTGGGCAGAGAAGTGGTGCAAGCTCTGCCTCCCTGCCTGGCCTGTGGCCCAGCGTGTTGCTAGGAAGGAATGTGCTTGTCCAGGTGGCAGCAGAGCTGACCTCCTGGGGCCTGGCCTTTGGGTCACCTGCTTGTCCCCTTTCACCTGGGTCTTGCATTTTGGAATCCCCCTGCCCCGCTTCCCAGTAGGCAAAGCCAGCTCCCTGGCCTTTTTCTCAGAGGTGGGGGTGGATCCCTTGGTCCACCCCTGACCACTCAGAGCAGGCCTAACTGCTGTGAGTCAGCGCTCTCTCCAGCCCTGGGAGACAGGGACCTCCGAGGCTGAACACTACCTTGTTTGATGACAGGGACTAGCTTGATGACATCTCAACCATGTAAAGTAGGGAGATTTTACACACACCCCGCAAAAGCCAGATGTCTGGCCTGTCTTAACTATGGCTGATGCATGCTGCTGGCTGTGCTAAGGGGGCAGACTCTAAACCTCTTTTTTTTTTTTTTTTTTTTTTGAGACAGCCTCGCTCTGTCACCCTAGGGTGCAGTGGTGCTATCATAGCTTACTGCAGCTTCAGACTCCTGGGCTCAGGTGATCCTAACCCTCCGGATTACAGCTGGGATTATAAGCGTGCACTGGCACACTCGGCTGAGTTTTGAAACTTTTTGTAGAGATGGGGTCTTGCTATGTTGCTCAGGCTGGCCTAGGCCTTTCTTGAAAGATGAGAATTTTCGCGATGCTGGGTGTACGTTTTCACCTCCCGTGGTCTGAGGGGAAAAAATGGTGGCCGCCTTCTTAGGGGGTTCTTGGGAGTCCAGCCCTGCACAGCCCCTCACCCGCCTTACCTGGCTTTCCCCTGTAGTCAGTGGACGTTGTTGCCTGTCATTTAGTAATGAGAACCCAGCTGTGTAAACCTCCTAAACTACCACATAGGAATCTGGCTCTTAACATACCTTTCCTGAGGTGAGGGATGCTCACTACAGGACATTCTGCAAGAAAAGTCCTAAACATGCCCTGACGGAAGCTGGAGCCAAAGTCTGTGTCTGCGGATTGTTTCCTGAGGAGAGGTTTCTGGGGGTGGGCTGATGTGAGACCAGGGTCTGGGCCTTGGGAGGGGATGGCTGGCTGGAGGACAGCTCCGGGGAAGGGTTGCTTCCCTGGGATCTGCCCTCATGGGACTGGCACCATGATGGTGTCCCCTCTTCTGGGGTCGGGATAAGCCAGGTAACCATGGCTTCCTCATGGGGTGCACACCCTCTTCCCCCTCTAATAGTCTTGGCCGCCACAGCTCTCCTGCAAAGCAGATTGGGAGCAGGGGTGGACACAGGTTCTAAGTGTGCTCTGGCTACTGGAAGACCCATCTCCACAGGTCGACTTGCCAGAGACCACCCCAAGTGGAAAATTCTGGGGGCTGGGCCAGGGTGAATCCAGGGCTCGGAGGACCTGGAGTATGTATAATCTGGGGGCCCCTTTAAAGAGAGAGAACATGACATTACATAGACACAGGCAGGTAGAGGAAAGAGAACGTGACATTACATAGACACAGGCAGGTAGAGGAGAGAGAGAGAACGTGACATTACATAGACACAGGCAGGTAGAGGAAAGAGAACATGACATTACATAGACACAGGCAGGTAGAGGAAAGAGAGAGAACATGACATTACATAGATACAGGCAGGAACAGGAAAGAGAGAGAACATGACATTACATAGACACAGGCAGGGACAGGGCTTTGGAAGGGGCTCGTGGAGTGAGGGGTCCCGAAGGTGGGCTGCCGTTGGGTGGTCCCAGGTGGCGTTGGGGTGGCTTTGGTTGCACTTGCTCTCTGGGCTTTCCTGAAGAGCTGGGGCTGGCTCTGTCCTGTGGAGGGAGAGGGCACGGGAGGCTGTCAGTACCAGCCCAGGTTTCGCTCACCTGAAGTCCCAGGTGTGACGGGATGCTTGAACATAGGGGAACCTAAGGCCACAGCCTTAGAAGAAGCCACGGCCACATCAGTCATCCCTGGTGCTGGGCAGGAGGCCTGGGTGTGGGCTGGAGCTGAGGACTGAGTCTCACCTTGCTCCTGACTCTGTGCCCATAGGTGGAACACCTGAAGGAGAAGCTCATTAGCCAGGCCCAGGAAGTGAGCCGACTGCGATCTGAGCTGGTGAGGCCACAAGGCTGTCCTGGGGCAGCACAGGGGGCTGGCCTGGCCCTGTGTAGATGGGCCCTGCCAGGGGCAGAGGTGCAACCCTCTCTCTGCTGAGCCCACACATCCATCCCACCCTGTCTCAGAAACACACCGAGAGCCTTATCCCCACGTCCTGGTACCCTCAGAGGCCTTGTGGCTCCAAGGGGTGGGAGATTCCTTCCCGGTTGCTGACATTAAACAGGAGTGTGAACCCTGGTAGAAATATGTCTCTCCTTGTGACTTTCACACCCAGAATAGGGGCAGCAGGGCGAGCAGGCCCTGGGTTGCCACCCTTCTCGACTCTGCCCTCCACTGTCTTTCTCTTGGTTTCTCTCTTGAGCTCGTTCCCTCCTTTCTTGCACTTGCCTTTTTCTTTTTCTCCTTCCCTCTGCCTTTCTCCTCACCTCCCCTCTCTGCCCTGCCCTTGTGCCGTCTCCGCTGGCCCCTCTTCCTTCCCCTGCCATCTGCCCTCACCACATGCGCCCCCTCGGCCCTGGCTCTCTGTAGGGGGGCACCGACTTGGAGAAGCACCGGGACCTGCTGATGGTGGAGAATGAGCGACTGAGACAGGAGATGCGGCGCTGCGAGGCCGAGCTGCAAGAGCTACATGCAAAGCCAGCAGGTCCCTGCCCGGGTTGTGAGCACAGCCAGGTGAGCAGAATGGCCGCAGCCCCCATGCTGGTCCTGGAGGGCCACCCCGGCTCCTCAGAGTGAGCCTGTCCCTTGCACTCATCTAGTGCCTCCCACTGACTGCAGGAGAGTGCCCAGCTCCGTGACAAGCTGTCCCAACTGCAGCTGGAGATGGCGGAGAGTAAAGGCATGCTGTCAGAGCTGAACCTGGAGGTGCAGCAGAAGACTGACCGGCTGGCTGAGGTGGAGCTGCGGCTCAAGGACTGCCTGGCTGAGAAGGCACAGGAGGAGGAGCGACTCAGCCGGCGCCTGCGTGACAGCCATGAGACCATTGCCAGCCTGCGGGCCCAGTCCCCGCCTGTCAAGGTGAGCCCTGGCCCACCTGATCTGTGCCTCAGCCCAATGCCCCTCGGTGCCTGGGACAGGGCCAGCCCATAAGAGGAGCTTGACCTGGTCAATAGGTAGGTGCATGTGGGTGGAGGAATCATTCCAATTCTGTGCTTGATCCTGCCCCTTTCCCTTCCTGTATCCAGAGCCAGGCACCGAGTAGGTATCCAACAACTGAGGTGCCAGGCACAGATGCAGCGCAGCCTCTGGATTCTGCCCCCATCTTTGCCTTTCTTGTTTGTACCCAGGATGGGGCCCTAGGCAGGCTCATAGTAGCCTCTTGTTAAGAAGAGAAGGTTCCAGGCCGGCCGCGGTGGCTCAAGCCTGTAATCCCAGCACTTTGGGAGGCCGAGATGGGCAGATCACGAGGTCAGGAGATCGAGACCATCCTGGCCAACACGGTGAAACGCCATCTCTACTAAAAAATACAAAAAACTAGCCGGGCGAGGTGGCGGGCACCTGTAGTCCGAGCCACTCAGGAGGTTGAGGCAGGAGAATGGCATAAACCCGGGAGGTGGAGCTTGCAGTGAGCTGAGATCCGGCCACTGCACTCCAGCCTGGGCGACAGAGCGAGACTCCGTCTCAAAAAAAAAAAAAAAAAAGAAGAGAAGGTTCCAGGAGACCCCCCAGCTTTCTGGAAAGCCAGGACCTCAAGGCTCCTCTAGTTTTTTCCGGGTTTCTGAGTGGGATGTTCCTGAGAGTTCCTTCCCCTGGCCGGCTGCGTCTCAGGGTCTGGGGTGAGGTCTGGTGCCTGCTGGCTCCACGCGCCATTCTTCCCTCGCCCCGCAGTATGTCATCAAGACAGTGGAGGTGGAGTCGTCTAAGACCAAGCAGGCCCTCAGCGAGTCCCAGGCCCGCAACCAGCACCTGCAGGAGCAGGTGGCTATGCAGAGGCAGGTGCTGAAGGAGATGGAACAGCAGCTGCAGAGCTCACACCAGCTGACCGCGCGGCTCCGGGCGCAGGTACACAGGCTGTGTGGGGGCACACGCCCAGCCAGGAAGCCAGAGGCAGGCCCTTGGGCCAATGCACCGGTTAAGCATTCGGACACCCCACAGACATGGGGTCCAGTCCCTCCTCTCTCCGATGGCCATGGGACCCAGGGCAAGTTTTGTCCGCTGTCCATTTCCTCATCTATTATAACACAATCTGGTCCCAGAACCCACCTCACAGTGGGGACTCAGGAACGTGATCCCAGGAAACTTTTTGCCCAGGGCCCAGCACACAGGCTTGCTCAGTAAGTTCTACAGTGGTACTCGTCACTGTCATCACAGAGGCCCTCTCCTACCTTCCTGAGGGCACGTGACTTGAGCACCTGATGTGTGCTTAGTACTGGGTTGGTGTTGGGGGCCAATGTACAGAGCTCACAGCCCTTTACGGGGAGAGAGACAAGGCCATTCTCCCCCTCCGTGTGTGCACACGTGTGTGTGCATGTGTGTTCATGGGCATGGGAGGTGACCAGTGGGGCTTCTTTCTCGGTATGGCACCTGCCCCTCTCCCTCCCACACCTCGAGGTACTGAGCCTTTTCCTGGTCTGGCTGCCAGATTGCCATGTACGAGTCAGAGCTGGAGCGGGCCCATGGGCAGATGCTGGAGGAGATGCAGTCCCTGGAAGAGGACAAGAACCGGGCCATTGAGGAGGCCTTTGCCAGAGCCCAGGTGGAGATGAAGGCTGTGCACGAGAATCTAGCAGGTGAGCTGACTGGGGCCCTGTCTGCCCCACACCGCGGCCTCTCATCCCCTCCCGCCTCACAGCCCAAGTGTCCCCATAGGCGTCCGGACCAACCTGCTGACCCTGCAGCCAGCACTGCGGACCCTCACCAACGACTACAACGGGCTCAAGCGGCAGGTGCGTGGCTTCCCGCTGCTGCTGCAGGAAGCCCTCAGGAGTGTCAAGGCCGAGGTGAGCGAGGGCAGTGGGTGGGAGGGTCCAGGGTGAGGGAGCACACTGGAAGAGGCACAACATCCACCCAGGGCTCCCCTCCAAAGCTCAGACAAAGCCCCTCAGACAGCAGCCCCTGCCCCACCCACCATGACACTTACTGCTGCCCTTATAGGCCCTGTTTGAAACTAGACTGCTTAGGGCAGGCATTTGGCTATTTGTCTTACTACGATTCTTTAAACCAAACATGTTACAGATAACTTCATATTTCAAACATGCAGGCCAGGCGCGTTGGCTTACACCTGTAATTCCAACACTTTGGGAGGACAAGGCGGGCGGATCACAAGGTCAGGAGTTTGAGACCAGTCTGGCCAACATGGTGAAACTCCATCTCTACTAAAATCACAAAAATTAGCTGGGCATGGTGGCAGGTGCCTGTTAATTCCAGTTACTCAGGAGGCTGAGGCAGGAGAATCACTTGAACCCGGGAGGTGGAGGTTGAGTGAACCAAGATCGTGCCACTGCACTCCAGCCTGGGTGACAGCGAGACTCTATCTCAAAAACAAAAAACATGCTACATACATATTTTTTAAAAAATTATTTATTAGAGACAGGGTTCATTATGTTGCCCAGGCTGGTCTTGAACTCCTGGCTTCAAGCAGTCCTCCTGCCTTGGCCTCCCACAGTGCTGAGATTATTGGTGTGAGCCACCATGACTGGCCGATACAGTCTTATCTCTGTTAGGTTTAACTTAATTCTTTCAAGCCGTACTTGTACATATGAGAATAGCCAGCGCCTCTTAAGTGCCTCCTACATGTCGAGCTGTTTATAGCGGTTAGCTCCTTGAATTTGTATGATAGCTTTGCAGAGACTAATATATTTTGGGAACAGAATATAGTTCTTCTCCTTTAAAAGAGTATGTCAGTAATACGTGGACATGGTGAAAAGTCAAACTCCATAGCAGGGCATCAGGTGAATAGGAAAGGCCTCTCTGCCACCCACCCGACTCCCCCAGTGTGGCCTCTCAGCATTTCCCCCTGACCATTCTGAGCATGCTTAAGCCAATTGATATGTGTGTATGTGAATATATGGTAGGCCCTTCCCCCACCCACAGGTTCTGCGCTCCCAGATTCAAACAACCACAGATCAAAAATATTTGAAGAAGATTAAAAATAACAGTACAACATTTAAAAATAATAGAAATAAAAATAACATATAACAACTATTTACACAGCATTTTTTTTTTTTTTTTTGAGACAGTGTTTCGCTCTTGTTGCCCAGGCTGGAGTGCAATGGCGGGATCTCAGCTTACTGCAACCTCCACCTCCCGGGTTCAAGTGACTCTACTGCCTCAGCCTCCTCAGTAGCTGGGATTACAGGCACATGCCACCATGCCCAGCTAGGTTTTTTTTTTTGTAGTTGTTGATTTGTATTTTTAATAGAGGCAGGACTTCACCATGTTGGCCAGGCTGGTTTTGAACTCCTGACCTCAGGCGATCTGCTCACCTTGACCTCCCAAAGTGCTAGGATTACAGGCATGAGCCACCGCACCCAGCCCCTACCTGGCATTTTCATTGTATTAGGTATTGTAAGTAACCTGGAGATGATTTAAAGTACATGGGCGGGGCTGGGCACAGTGGCTCATGCCTGTAATCATAACACTTCGGGAGGCTGAGGCAGGAGAAGCACTTGAGCCCAGGAGTTCAAGACAAGTCTGGGCAACATAGTGGGACCCCATCTCTACAAAAATAAAAAAACTAGCTGAGTGCAGTGTCCTGCACCTGTAGTCCCAGCTACTCTGGAGGCTGAGGTGGGAGGATCGCTTGGGCCTGGGAGGTCGAGGCTACAGTGAGCCAAGATAACACCATTCATGATGAGTTTCCACCACATCCACGGAGCTGTGATTGCACTCCAGCCTGGGCAACAGAGCAAGACCCTGTCTCAAAAAAGTAAAGTATATGGGAGGATGTGTGTAGGTTACAGGCAAACACTATATCATTTTATATCTGGGGCTTGAGCATCTGTGGAGTTTTATATCCTCCATGGTTACCAAGGGACAACTGTATACACTGTATACACTTTCCTTCTACCCCAGAAAGGGGACGTGTGATTCTGTATACAGTGGGATACTGTATGTGTGATTTTGCATCTTCTTTCCCCCTGTGAAATGTAACTGGGAGATCTTTATAGATTCATGAGTTAGATGGTATTATCCCTGTTTTCCAGATGTGAAAATTGAGGCTTAAAGACATTGAGTCAGCAGTCTCAGGTCCCCAGCTACTCAGGGGCAGAGCTGGAATTTGAGTCTGGTTGAATCACATAGTCAAGCACTCGTGCTATGGTGTGGAGGCTGAGTCCTGGCTCTATGCTTATTAGCAGAGCAGCCTTGAGCTGTCAGCTTAGAGTCTCTGGGGCTCAGTTTCATCATCTGTAAAATGGGGATGGCAGCAGTACCTACCCAGAGGGGTGATTGCGATAGTCTGACATGTGATAGTGTATGTCAGGTACTCAGCCAGGGGCAGGAGGCAGTGAGCACCCCTCAGGGGTGGGCAGTTGGGCCAGCAAGGCTGATGGAGCTGACCCCCTGACAGTGGTGTGCACCCCCCACCAGATAGGCCAGGCCATCGAGGAGGTCAACAGCAACAACCAGGAGCTGCTGCGCAAGTACCGCCGTGAGCTGCAGCTGCGCAAGAAGTGCCACAACGAGCTCGTGCGGCTGAAAGGTGACTGCAGGAGGGCTGGGGGTGGACACCAACCTCGGGGCCTCGACCTGGCTTGGCAGTCATGCCTGGAGCTCACCCCACCGTTGAGGCGCTATTCTAATCCCATCTCTGTAGATAAGGAAACAGAGGCACAGAGAAGGCAGGGAACTTGCTCAAAGCCACAGGGATATTAAATGGTCCGCCTTGGATTTGAACTTGAGTCTGTCCAGCTCAGAAGCCCTGGCCCCAGTGCTTGGGCAGGTGACTCCCCAGGCCCTGGATGGCCGAGGGGTGTGGTACTGCAGCACTGGGTTGTTGGCAGCTGGAAAGCCACTTGTTCTGACCTGGGGCCTGGTCAAGCTTGAGACTCCACCATGCACTGCATGGAGCTCTAGAGTGCCTGCTCTGTGCCAGGTGCCGTTCCAGCCCGAGGCTATGGTCATGGCCCCACAGACTGCCTCCCGGTGCTCACTTTAGTATGAGAATGGACAATGGTGATTGTCAGGGAACCCCAACCCTGCCCCTTTCCAGGGCTGAGACAGGCTCTCCTGGGTATGGGACAGGCAAATGTGTTGAGGGGCTTCCCAGAGAAGGCAAAGTTAGAGCTGAGACCTGGATGGTGAGCTGGAACAGATGGGTGAAAAGGGAGGGCAGGTGGGCCATGCTGGAAGTGGGGGATGTTTCCTCTTCATTACAAGAGCACAGGAATCCCAACGAAGGCTGGAAGTAGATGGTGGCATGACCAGCTCATGCTGCCAGATACCCTTGTGGCTGCCCCACTATCTGGGCCCTCAGATACACCATCAGTCATCACCTGCTGCCAGGCCTATATGCCCATCTGATTCCTAAGCCCTGTCCTGCCATTCAGGAGAAGGCTCTTTGCTCACTGGGGCCCAAGCCCCTCACTGTCTAGATGAAGAAACTGAAGTCCAGGGAGGAAAAGAGTATCCGTTCTGGCGTCTCATCCTGACTGCGTGCAGTGCCTGAGCCCCACAACTGACCTTTCCTCCCCATCCCCAAGGCAGAGCTCCACCCCAGTCAGCTGGTCTGTTCAAGAAGAAATGTACTAAGTGAATTCATACTATAGTGTGAATGATGGATAACAGCTTTGTGGGCCCCCTTCCCCTAGGGGGCTGTGCTTAAAAGTCAGGGGACTCCTAGGCCAACTGGTCTGCCTGGGACACCAGTGGACCAGAGTGGAGACTGGTCTTGACATGGCCTGGGCCCATTTCCCCATCCCCAACCAACCCAGGGAACATCCGAGTGATTGCTCGTGTCCGGCCAGTCACCAAAGAGGATGGGGAAGGACCTGAGGCCACCAATGCTGTGACTTTCGATGCCGACGACGACTCCATCATCCACCTGCTGCACAAGGGAAAGCCTGTGTCCTTCGAGCTGGACAAGGTGTTCTCCCCACAGGCCTCGCAGCAGGACGTGAGTGTGGCCCCATGCGGGAAAGGGAAAGCAATGGAGAGAGGGAAAGACGGACTCACAGGGAGGGAGAGGGGCTGGGAAGGAAGAAGCATAAGAGTGGGGGGTACAGGAATCAGAAGTGGGGAGCCAGGGTCCCGCACCTTCCTCTGGAGGACAGAAGAGGGTGGGAAGTTAAGACTGAAGGCCTTAGAAGCCTCCTTTGGAAGGAGAGATCCAGAAACAGCCCATCCCCTCCCATGGCTGTGGTTCCTTCCATCCCCAAGGCCCCTTCTACCATGTGGCCCCGCCCACCCTTAAGGCCCATCCCACTATCGTAACCCATTCCATTCTCTCAGCTATGGCTCCTCCCACCATGTGGCCCCTCCTATATCCAGTCCCTTCCACCACATGGCCCCACCCACAGCCCCTCCCACCACCATGGCTTTGGGTCCTCCCATCCACGTGGCTCCTTCTACTGCATGGCCCTGCCCACTCTCAAGGCCCCTCCTTCCATCACAGCCCATCCCACCCTCATGCTGTGGCCCCTCCCATCTGCATGGCCCCACCCACACAGGCCCCTCCCACCCTCCCACCATGTGGCCTCACCCACCTTCAGGCCCCTCCCACTATCACAGCCCCTCCCACCCTCATGGCTGTGACTGCCCACCCACATGGCCCCATCCATCTTCATGACCCTGCCCATCTTCTCCATCTGGGAGTACCCTCCTGTATCAGTCCCCTGGGCCTTCCTAGGAATCCCCCGACCCCCTCAGGCTGTATGAGAACCATGTGTTCTCAGTGTCCACTCTTCCCTTGTCTCTGCCCAGACCAACCTGCCAGCCCTACCAAGGCCTGTGCCCTCCTGTTCTCATGTCTGGTTCTGTCTTTGCCCCCATCCGCTGATGGCTGGCAGGCAGGCCCAGGCCAGAGAGGCCCCAGGCATGTGCTGGCCTCTGCCTTCCTTGTGCTGAGCGCTCTTTGAGAGAGAGCAGGAGGAGCTGGGGGAAGGGCAGCAGGCACCGGCCTGTCTTCTCTGCAGTCTTTGGGCGGCCCAGTTGCCCACTGATGTCTAATGTATGACTCACGAATCACGAATCATTGTGAGCTGAGTGACTGCAGTAACACGTGCTGTGATGTTGCTGAAGGGCAGCATGGTTGGGGAGGTGGCTGGACTTGTAGCTGGTGGTCCCAGTGGCCCTGGAAGCCCCCCACCAGCCTCCCTCCCACCATCTTCCCAGGTGTTCCAGGAGGTGCAGGCCTTGATCACCTCTTGCATCGATGGCTTCAATGTCTGCATCTTTGCGTACGGCCAGACGGGTGCCGGCAAGACATACACGATGGAGGTGGGTGCTGCCCCACGGGGTGGGGGTTCACAGTGAAGTATGAAGGGAATGCGGGCTCCTTCATTGGTCTTGGGGTTTTGTGCAGTGTGTGTTTTGCCTCATTTGGTCCTCACAACCCAGGAGCAGAGGCTGTAGTTATCGGTGTTAGCCCCAAGGTACCAGGCCTTAAGAGGGGGCCCCCTTGCCCAACGGTACCCACAATGGGCCCAGCAGGACTGGGGAAGAGGCAAGGGGGGTCTGTCATCACAGGGATCTTGGCCTGGGGACAGAGTCCAGGGCAGGCCACCCACCTCGCTCAGGACCAGGGCTGCATTTCACCTTGACTGTGCACTGCACGCTCCTGCTTTACGGCTGCCTTGGCCGGGCCTGGGGGATCTGGGATGAGTGGTTGGTCTCAGTCCTCAAGGAGATCCCAGGGCAAGACTGGCATGCGAAGGCTGTGGTGGGGAGCCCAGCTCTTGCTGGTGGCCCCTGGGGCCAGGCCAAGGCTTCCCCTCCCTGCCCGTCACCGGCGCCCTCCCAGGTGTGGTGGAGCAGGTGGCTGGCCAGGGAGGGGGGCGTTGAGATGAGGAAGGATCTTGACTGTGGGCAGAGGGCAGTGGAAAGCTAGCCCTGACTCTTGAGGGGTGCTGTGGGATTCCCTAGGTCAGAAGGAGGCCAGGTGGTACGGCATCTGGGCAGGGGAAAGGGCTGGCCAGGCCTGCTGGGCAGGGAGCCTGTCATGGCGGCCCTCTATTTCCCATCTGGACTCTGCTGTTCCCTCAATTCTGGAACTAGTGAGACTAGTTAGTGGGGGCAGGCCAGGCCAGGTGGGAGGAGGAAGGGGGTGTGTGCAGCATCCCCTGGGCTCCCTGTTCTGCTTTGGGATTGCTTAGAGTTGAGTTGACCACCAGAAACATCAGCGTTCGTCCTCAAGCGTATCTGCTGATGCCTGAGGCATATCGGGCATTGTGCCAGGTACAGCTTTGACCCAAACAGTCCCTGCCTCCACAGGGGGCCCTCCCCACAGGGCCAACCTGGCTGTGGGGAGGCAACACAGTCCACGTAAATCAGCAAGTGTCCTGTCAGGCCAGGGAGAAAAATAAAGCCAGGGATGCGGAACTGACTAGGGGGAGGAACAGGGCATTTGGGGGTGCTGGGCGAAGGAGCAGCCTCCCTGAGGGAGATGATAGAGCCGACCACGGGGAGGTCAGAGGAGCACCCAGGGCAGAGGGAGCTGCAGGGCCAAGGCCAAGAGGCCAGAGCATGCCAGGGGCACCTGACTCCCGACCAGGAGGCCCCTGCGGCAGGAATAGAGAGAGGGTGAGAGATACTGTCAGAAGAAGGGCGAGGGCCAGGCTCCCAGGGCCTCGAGGGCCCAGGTAGGGACTCCAGGTTTCCTTCTAGAAAGGCCGGCCCACCCCTCCTGCCCCAGGACACTGGTCCACTCCTCCCTGTGCCTCCTCTCCACCACCCACAGAGCCCAGGCCTCAGCCTCCCTGAGATTGAGCACCTTTCTGGGCAGTGGTGGGGTCATTCATTTCCAGCACCCCTCCCAGGTGGCCCCGCAGGGCCAGGCATGCATCTGGCCGTCAGCTGGCCTATGTGGGGTCTGGGCCAGGCCCCTCACCCCAGTGCTGGACAATGAGTCTCAGGGTAGTCCTGGCAGGGCGATACCATTTTAATGGTGGGGAAATAGAGGTGCAGTTGCCTGCAGCTGGTGGAGGGCATTTTGGGGGACAGTGGCAGGTAGGTAGGAGGTTTGGGCAAGGAGGCTTGCCTGTGAGGAGTAGCCAAGGGGCTTGGGGGACAGACGCCACACGAGCATCTTTGGGGACAGGCCTGGCTCACTGGGGCCTTTCCTTCTGCCCCCAGGGGACCCCCGAAAACCCAGGTATCAACCAGCGGGCCCTACAGCTGCTCTTCTCCGAGGTGCAGGAGAAGGCGTCTGACTGGGAGTACACCATCACCGTCAGCGCCGCGGAGATCTACAACGAGGTCCTCAGGTGGGAGCCCCAGGGTGTGCAGAGCAGGCCTCAGGGGCAGCTTTGGGGTCCTCCGGGGTGGTGCTGGAACGAGGTCCTCAGGTGGGAGCCCCAGCATGTGGGGAGCAGGCCTCAGGGGCAGTTTTGGGGTCCTCTGGAGTGGTGCTGGAGCAATGGGGGATAGGAAGTGGGGTCTTCCTGAAGGGAGTACAGGGAACAGATGAGGCCATCAAGGGACCTGGCTGCAAGTCCTGACTCAGCCCATCAGTTTGGGTGGTCCTGTGGGGAGGAGGGGCTCTCTCTCAGCCTGCCCCAGCCCAGACCCAGGCAATCCTTGCCCCTACCTGTGGGCTGCACCAGGTGGCCGTGGGTGAGAGTGGGCAGCTGGGGGCCCTGCCCACAGGGCTCATTGCATTGTGGAGTGAGATCTCTGCGTCAGCTGAATGCGGTGGAGGAGCTGGAGGAGGAGAGATGCGCTCAGCTGATGGCTGAAGAAGGCTTCCTGGGTTGGGGCAACATTCCTGGCTAGGAGGCTGGGTGCAGTGCAAACAGCAGCCAGAAATGGGAGGAGGGCGTGACTGTCTCACCTACCCCTCCAGGGACCTGCTAGGGAAAGAGCCTCAGGAAAAACTGGAGATCCGGCTATGCCCAGATGGCAGTGGGCAGCTGTATGTACCAGGGCTGACTGAGTTCCAGGTGCAGAGCGTGGACGACATCAACAAGGTGTGGAGGAGGGAGCCCCTGACCACAGCCACGCTGCTCTAGAGGACAGAACTGGGTTTGAATGTAGGCTCTGCTGTGTCCTAAGCACGCACCCTTGGGCAAGTCCCCACGCCTCTCTGAGCCTCAGTTCCCTCATCTAAACTGCAGAGGGTGGTGCCACTCCTTACGGGTGCTTGGGGCCAGGTGACTCTGAGGACCCCATTCTCAACGCTGTGCCTCTGCCCTCCCGCTCCCAATCCCCCAGGTGTTTGAGTTTGGCCACACCAATCGCACGACGGAGTTCACCAACCTCAACGAGCACAGCTCCCGCTCGCATGCGCTGCTCATCGTGACGGTGCGAGGCATGGACTGCAGCACGGGCCTCCGCACCACGGGTGAGAGTGGCGGGCAGCCTGGCCTGAGGATCCCCACAACCACAAGGGGCATGGCAGGCCTGATCTGCTGGGTGCCCTCCCTGCAGGGAAGCTGAACCTGGTGGACTTGGCTGGCTCCGAGCGCGTGGGCAAGTCGGGGGCTGAGGGCAGCCGCCTGCGGGAGGCACAGCACATCAACAAGTCGCTGTCAGCTCTGGGGGACGTCATTGCTGCCCTGCGCTCCCGCCAGGGCCACGTGCCCTTCCGCAACTCCAAGCTCACCTACCTGCTGCAGGATTCACTTAGTGGTGACAGCAAGACTCTCATGGTGGTACAGGTGAGTGCCTTGGGTTAGGGCGGGCCAGTCCCTAGAGTGGAGGGGCTGCGCTAGCAGCGAGACCCAGTCACCCCAGGCGGTGCAAAGGGACCCTTGTCTCAGCAGCTCCATAGTCAGCAACAGCCCCCAGCCCCAGACCTGGCCACACACACCCTGTGTGACTCCCAGTCCCTCCTCTCCACCTTTGACCACGCTACCTCTGCCACCTTGCCTGCCCTCCCACCCCATCTCTCAGTCCTCTCCAGGAAGCCTTCTGACATCCCCAGCTGTGAGCTCCCTCTGGTGACCCTGCTGTCCCTCCAGCTGGCCTGGTTGGGCAGTGAGCTCTTGTGTCCCGTAGGTGTCCCCTGTGGAGAAGAACACTAGCGAGACGCTCTATTCCCTCAAGTTTGCTGAGCGGGTGCGCTCTGTGGAGCTGGGGCCTGGGCTACGCAGGGCAGAGCTTGGGTCCTGGTCGAGCCAGGAGCATCTAGAGGTACGGGGACTGTCACAGGCCTGGCTCAGGTGGCCCTGGGTCAGAGACTTTGGGTCATGGCGGGAGTGGGGAACTGGGCGGGGACGTCCTGAAGCAGTGGGGGCGGGGAAGCTGCCGGAGGTGGGTGGAGCTACAGCTGGAACCCACAGCCGGGAGCCTCTTCAGTACAGGTAATTCTTCTTGGCCTCAGAGGTTCCTGTGGGGTGACCAGCTGGCCGTGGGGGTGGCACACAGTAGGTACTAGTTGTACCTAGCACACAGTGGTAACTAGTTGACTTCTTTACATGTATTATCTCGTTTAATTCTTACCATAACTGTGAGGCTGGGGCACGAGCATCATGCCCATTTTGCAGATGAGGAAAGTGGGTGTTAGGAGGTTAGGAGGCAGGGCAGGGGAGTAGAGAGCAGCACAGCAGGGTGCGGAGCCAGGGCAGCCGTGGCCCACGCCCACCCGCCCTTCCCTGCTGACAGTGGGAGCCGGCTTGTCAGACGCCACAGCCCTCAGCACGGGCCCACTCAGCCCCCAGCTCTGGGACCAGTAGCCGCCCTGGATCCATCCGGAGGAAGCTGCAGCCCTCGGGTGAGCCTGGGGTGGAAGTGTGGGTGGGGGAGTCTCCCCAGGATAATAGTCACCAGGCTGCCCTTACCTGGATTGGCTTTCTATTTTCTTTCCTTTTTAAAAAGTTCTTACAACTTCTCCAGAACCTGTTTTACAACCTCCCCTGCCCCCAGGCAGTCGTCAGGGCAGACAGTGCTGTGTTCAGTCTGCAGGTGGGAAATGGAAGGTCCGTGGGGAGGGGTAGTGTAAGGAGACCCCAGCCTCCCAGCTTGGGGTGCTGACTCTACCCTGGGACCCTGCTCTCTGAGGGTGGGCTGGCTGGGCCTGTGCAGTAAGCCCCCTCCAGAGCAGTCCCTGCATCCCCCTCCCTGCACCTCAGCTGCCCTGGGGATAGAAAGGGCAGGGCTTGCCTACGTCCTAGGTGAGGAGTGAGCCCCACCACAGGACTGGGATCCAGGACTCCAGCCCCTGTTTAGCCCAGATCATGGGAAGGCCTGGCCTGTCCTTGAGTCCAAAGGGGTAGAAGCAGCAGGGTCCTGTGGGGTACTGGCCTGAGGCAGGCCCACCAGTGAGACGCCTGTCACTTTGATTTCAGCCTGACGGCTGGGGCTGCAGCCTCTAGGTGAGTGTGGGGCCAGTGGCCCAGGGCTACCCGCCTGCCCGCCCCCGTGGGTTGTAGGGCTGCGCTGGGACGTTCTGCTGCTCAGGGCTGGGTCTAGCCTCCGCTGCTATTTGTCTGTGTGCTTCTGCTGGGTTCCCTCCTGCTCTTGGTGGCACCTGTTGTGGGCTGCCGGTGGGCGAGTGGACAAGAGGCTGATGATCCCGGTGCCCCTGCAGGGAAGTCGCGGCCACTGCCCGTGTGACAGATGTGACCCCGCTGGGCCTGGAGCTGGGCCCCGAGGCCTCACTGGCCTGTTCCTGCTGTAGCGCCAGGACCCCCGGAGGTGGAGGCAAGAGTGAAGGCTCCTCTTCTGCCCCGTCTCCCCTCAGAGATGAGAAACATGTTCAGAAGGAAACGGTGTCTCGGCTGTGGCTCTGGGTGCAAATTGCATGGGCGGAAAAGCGGGGGTGGCTGCTCTTCCTGGCGGGCCTGGGCTGTCAGTGAGCTGGGCCCCGTGAGGAGGGCAGGAGAGTGGAGGAGGGCGGGCCTCTCACCCAGGCTGCCCCAGCTCCTCTCCTCAGCTTGCAGGACTGGCCAGCCCCCTCCTTCGTGGGTGGGCAAGGAGCCTCCTGGCAGGCTCAAGAACCATGCGGACTGGGGTGGGTTGGTGGCACCAAGGGCAGCCCTCCCCGCCCCTCTCCTTCAAGGAGGGGTCCCGCAGCCGGGGTGTGTACAGAGGCGCACGGCCTCCTGCCACGGGGCCGTGCCGTATTTATGGCTGACAGAGACAGCCAGTGGGTGGGGGATTCTGCTGCTCCCTCACCTGCCTGGCTCACTGGTCTCTTGAATTTTCTTCCCTCTGAAATCCTATTTAAGAACTTTTGGAAGCTTAGCCATTTTTACTTATTAAAATAAAAGCCTTTTTACACAAGTATGGTCTGAAAACGTTGGCCTCTGAGCCCCTCTTGGTCTGCTAAGGGGGATGGGGCACTGGCAGGTCCTGTGGACTCCCGCGCTGGCTGGTCACCCCACAGCCCTCCAGGAGCTGTCCTCTAGGTCAGTTAGGGACATGCATCCTTAACAACTGGGGGGAGCCCGCGCTGTCCCACCCTGGGTCACTTTCTCTGTTGTTTGTGGTCACAGTCACCTCATGCAGTGCCTACCGTGTGCCCACAATAACTGACCAACCTCCCAACAGGGGCATCCCTCCATGTTACTGATGGGAAGGAAACTAAGGCTGGAGAGAGCTTCGAAAGCTCATTAAAGCCTTGCCCAAACCATGCTGGCCTTCCGGGTTACTGCTGGGCACCACCCACTGCCCACCCTTTGCCCTGGCCTTTTCCCTCTTCAGTGAACTGGCCAGAGGTCCGCGCCACCTTCCTCCAGTGCCGAGGACCCTGACCACCCCGGGACAGGGCTGTACCTGGTCCCTGCCTTGGGAGCAGGAGGGGGCCCACCTGTCGCAGTGACCACAGAGCAGTGGGCCCTTTCCCGCCAGCCAGTGCTGGGGGCTCCAGCAGGGAATGACAGCTGATCAGAGCCCTGCTCAGAAGAAGGGGCAGGTGCCTTCCAGTCCTGCCCCTGGAGGCATCCTGGGGGTGTCCATAAGACAACTTGTGTGTGGCTGAGGTGGGGAGGACCGGTTGGTGGGGCCCACCCCTACCTAACCTCAACACCCAGTGGTGGAAGGGTGGTTGCCGCCTCCCTTTCCTTCCCAGTCTGAACTGGCTGAACTGATGTCCCACAGGCCTGACTCTCTGCTGCCCTCTGCTGGCCACACGGCCCAGAGCCCCACCCCAGGGCTTGGAGGGGGTGTGGCCTCATCTCAGAAACCACGACGGGGCAGGCACTCCTGGGACGTGGGGAGCCCTGTGGCCAGCAGAAAACATTCCCCGCAAGGAAACCTGGGAATAGTTACAAATTTAATAAAATTTGCCTTATAAATTACAGCAGCAGCCCCAGGGCTCAGTTCGCTGCCCCAAGAAGCAACAGTTGGGCAAAGCTGGGCAGCTATTGCTGGAGAGAGTTGTCTCAGAGTTCAGGGCTGTAGAGGTGGCCAGGGACCAGCGTTACCTCCTCCAGGACGGCCACAGGACAGCGGCAGGGGCCAGGCAGAGGCTCATGGGCCACTAGGCACAAAAGGAACAGGAGTGGGGGCTGAGGCCAGGCCCTGAGGGCAGCCAAGCGCCCCTGCCCACTGCGTTCCTCAGTCCAGACTGGCCATGAGCAGGTGCAGCTCGCGGAAGGTACTGCCGTGGCGGCCGCTCAGGCCCGACTTGCTCTTGACCAGGCCGCTGATGCTCTTGAGCTGCTTGTAGCAGAGCCGGCACTTGTGCAGCCTGTAGAGAGGGCAGTGCCTGAGGGGCCAGCTGGCACCACCACCACCCCAATCCCAGGGCCTTTGCTGTCCTAACTGCTCCAGCCCCTCCTCCCAAGGGAAGGTGGAGGCCCAGAGGGGAACTACCCAGGCCCTGCCAGGGATTGTGGGCACAGCCAGGCCATGGAGGAACCCAGCTCTGGCTAAGCCCACCCACGCCCTGAGCCATGGCCCCAGACCAACACACCCTCTGTACTCTGTCCCAACAGGACTGTCAGGAAGAGGGGCCAGGGCCTCCAGGCCTTTGTCCCCTCACCTGTTGTGGCACCCCTGCCCCCAACACACGTGCCGCCTGGCCCTCACCTCTCCTCCCTACTGATATCCACACCCACGGAGGGCGGGGCTGCCAGCATGTCCGTGATGAGGGGCAGAAACCGCTGCAGGATCAGCTTCAGGGAGGTGCAGCCAGTCTGGACGTAGCTTCAGGAGGAGATGGATGAAGTCACAGATGGACTCAGGGCCACAGACAGAAAGAGAAACAGCGAGGAACAAAGGAGGAGAGGGGCAGACACAGACACACACACACACACACACACGCCTGTTTCCACTCCCACCTCTGGACCGTTGAGGGGCAGCAATGCTTCACAGCCAGCTCACAGGAACACCCAGGCTCTTGGGGGGCTTCCCATGGTCCAGGAGGAGGCTTCCTACCTCTCCCCTCCCCCTGCCTGAGGCAGGCATGGCTTCCCCACACGCACCTCTCATACTTGCTCTGCAGAAGTTTCTCGATCTGTGGCAGGACCGTGGTGCACAGGTCCAGCTTCCACAGGGAGCTAGGAGAGGCCAGGACATGCTGCCGTCAGCCCAGCCCTGCCCCTCCACCCACTCCCCCTCGGCAGCCACTTACGCTTTCTGGTTGACGATGTTCAGGAGGTCCACCACCACCGACAGGTCGTTGATGGCCACAGCGGAGTCCACCGACGTCTGTGCAAACAGAGCACTGTCAGGGGAGGGGCAGTGGGGGACAGTGTGGCCCTGTGAGGGTGAGGGTGGGGGCACGAACGTGAATGTGGGTGTGCTGGAGGGGCTGTGGGTGTTTACAGCACTGCACCTAACGCAGTGAGTGTAAGGCCAGGCATTAAACAGGTGCTCACTAAACAGCAGCCGTGATAATGACAACAGGACGGCCTATCCCACATGGGTGGCCTCTTCTTGTTCTGCCCCAAGCCTGGGCAGGCAGGGGGCGAGATGAGGCCCTGGGCGAGGGTGGGCGCTTGCCTTGATGTCGCCCGTGGTCCACACAGCCCGCACGGTGTCCAGGTTCTTGTGGCGGCTGGTGAGCACCACACACATGGTGTCGTGGCCTTTGCGGATCTGTGACATGGCATCCTCGTCCACCAGCTCAGCCTGCTGGGGGATCTTCACGGCCTGTGTGGGATGGGTACCCAGATGCTGGCACGGGAAGAGCCGGCAGCAAAGCTCTGCTCTCCACCCACAGATCTCCACCCACGCCTCACACTGGGCTCCCACTCACGGGCAGGAAGTCGGAGGCCTTCAGCCCGATGGGCTCATTCCGGGTGGCAGGGATGATGGCAGGCTCAGCCTTGGGTGCAGGTGTGGAAGCAACCACCGGGGGCCGGGGCAGGACCTCCAGCTGAAACAGGTGTGAAGCTCAGTGCGTGCCAGCCTGGGGCCTCCCTCTCTGCCTCCCAACACGAGGGACCCCCAACCCTGGCTCAGGACCCTCTCTAGGCCCCACACCATGCTCCCTCCATGGACGTACGTTTGGCACTGGGAACTGCACATCCATGGCAGAGCTGGGCTTTGCTGCCTCCTTTGCTGTGGCTGCATCTGGAGGCAAAAGGAAAAGATAACTGGGTTCGGCCAGAAGGGCCTCAGGGCGGAGCTCTGGGCAGCATCGCAATGGGGACGGAGCAGGAGCGTGGGGAGGCGGCAGGCCACTAGCATGGGGGCTCCAGAGGACCTGGGGGCAGGCCTGGACCTGCCTCCTCCCTCTCCCCGAACTCAATCTTAAGTCTGCCTGTGGGTGGGACCCAGGGGGCTCTAGGATGTGGCTGTCCTGTCCCTTCACTGGCATGTGTGTGGAGGGGGCTGGGATAAGTGACTGGCAAGATGGAAGTAGAGCCTCCTAGGAAACCCAGCCTTCAGAAGACAGCAAGGACGGTCCCCGAGGGAAGGCCAGGCGGAGGGCAGGGGTACTCTGTAGGACAGGGGGCCCCACACCTGCCCCTTCTCCAACCACAACGCAGATCATGTTTTCTCCCTTCTTAATCCAAACCCCCAGCTGAGGCCTTGTGGGCCTGACCTCTTGCTGGGACTCACCCCAGCTCCCCGCCTCTCAGCTCCCTTCCTGCCGGAAGCGCTCCCCTCTCCCTCTTCTTGCCGGCCCCCAGGCCTCAGCAGTTGTTGGGCCTCCTGAGAGCCTCCCGATCATCCCATCTACAGCAGACCCCATCTAAGCTGGGCCCCCAGTGACTCCTCTCCATCCTCCACAGCCCGAGTGCCCCTGGCAGGCCCGCCCGTGTGGTGGTGTCTATGTCTGTCCGCCACACACCAGGGCACAGGCTCCTTGGGAGGCACTGTCAGTCTTGCAGGGACCCGGCACATAACAGGTGGAGGACAGAGACCCAGCGGGAGAGGCTGTGGGTCGTGTCCTGAGAGGGGAGGTTCCAGGGAAGGGGCTTGTCAGGAGGGCTCACAGGGAGAGAAGATGAGGGACGGGGGGCATCAGAGACCTTAGGAAACCAGGCTCACCCAACTCACCGTCCTCTGGGGGTGCAGGGAAGGGCTCACTTCTCCGGGGTGGTGTCCGACCTGCAGAGGAAAGAGGCCCCTGGCTGTGAGCGCTCCTGGCCAGGCCACCTGGGACCCAGGGCCCTGTCAGAGTGCGGGGGACAGAGGGTAGCTCCCAGGCATGCGGCTGCAGACTGTGGACCCTGGTCTTGGTCCCAGGAACCCTCAGTCCTGCCCCTCCCAGCCCACTTGTCCCTGGCAGGGCAGGGACTGAGACCCTGAGCAGCTGCTGGGCTGCTGCTGAGGAGTGCCCAGGGCCCCCTCTCAGTTCCATCAGAGCACAGGCTGGCAAGGCCCAGGGAACGTGAGGACAGGGTGTGGAACCCAGGATGGGTTAAGAAGAAGCTAAAGGGACGTAGAGCCACAGCAGGCCATCCTGGAAGGACCCCCAGCCTCCCTTTCACCGACGGGGACGCTGGGCTTGGGGCGGGAGCCCGGCCTCACTGATGCTGTTCTTGGGCTGAAAGATCTCGTTGTAGTCCTCGGCGTTCTGGATCTCCGCGCGGGACTCGCGCTCGTCCCGGTCATCCTCGCTGCTGGGGCTGCGGCGCTCGCTCTCTGAGTTCTGCTTCACCCTGGGGGCATGAGGCCAAGCCCAAAGGAAGCAGGTGCCCTGTAAGGCCCAGGGCTGGAATTCCGAGGCTTCCCCTATGACAGGCCCTCTCCTGTGCCCCCTAAGGCCCCCCACGCCCCCACCTCTGAGGCTTGCTGCAGGTTGTGCTGGGCCGCTCGTAGATGCGCCGGAACGGGGCACTGGGGTTGGGTGGTGGCTGTGCCAGGGGCCGGTGGTCCTGCACAGGGTCCCGGGCCACCGTGCCAGTCCTGGTGACACGTGTCAGATCCACCACGTAGGAGGAGACGTTGCTCTGGGAGAAGGCCACACCTATCTGCAGGAAGCAGAGAGGTGGGGCTGGGCCTGTGAGCTGAGGGGGCAAAATCCCAGCCCCAGTGTGGGGGTAGGAGGAAGGGCCTGGGCTGGAGGGAGGCAGGTGGCCCCGTGGGAGTGGGGGGCGGTGGGTGCCATAGCTGTCTCACCAACTGGTCATTGCAGATGGCCAGGTCGGCCACCTTGCCCCAGTTGACGAGGACCACATCAAAGCACCGCTCAGGTTCCCAGCCGTAGACACGCAGCGAGTCCTGGCAGCCGCTATACAGGCAGCAGCCGTCGGGGTTGAACAGGACGCTCCTGGGCCAGGCGAGAGATGGCTGTGGGTCCTGTGGCACCCAGCCTGGTCCCCACCCCGAGGAACCCAGAGAGCTCAGGGCAAGGAGGGCACTGCAGTGGAGATGGGAAAGGCCCACCCACAGCCACGCCCCGCTGCCCGGGAGAAGCGCTGGGCCACCCACCCCACAGCCTGCGTACCTGACAGGCCCAGGCTCCCCTTCGATGCAGCTCACCACCTGGAACTTCTCCAGGTCCCAGAAACGGATTGTCCTGCAAAGGTAGCCAGGCTGTGCTGCCAAGCCTGTCTCTCATCCTGGCCTCCAAATGCCCCTGGGAAGCCAGCTTCTCTCCAGAAACCTCTCCCCCAGGGCAGGGCCACCAGGAGCAACGTCTGGGGCAGAGCTGGCCCTGACTTTGCAAGGGGGAGGCTGGGCCCGATGGCCCTGGCCCCGGGGTTGGCCCCAACAGCCATGAGCCTCCCTGCCCTATGGGGTCCCGCTAGGTGCCTTGGGTCCCAACCTGCCCATGAAGCCATAGACCTGGGACACGGAGGCCAGGGAACCAGAGCCAGGGGAGATGGACCAGGGTCCAGTCCTGGCTGGGCTGAAATCCAATTCAGTCCACACAGGATCATCAGGCGTATAACACCCCAGACAGTGACAGACCGAGAGTAGAGACGCGCAGAGGACAAGGTAGTGAAGGACGGCAGTCACGAGCAACTCGCCCGCTCCTCCTCACCTGTCAGAGCTGCCGGAGGCCAGGAGGTACTCGTTGGGGTGAAACTCGACCACGTTGACAGGCCCCGTGTGACCAGGGAACTCAGACATCATCTTGCCAGCAGTGAGATCCCAGAGCTGGAGGCAGGGCAGGGAGGAGGTCAGGGCGACCAGGCATCTTGGCTACCCACCCTCTCTAATCCAGGCCAAGCTTTTTATCTACAAGCTACCTTCCACTCGGGATGGGCTTGGGACATGCCCGATCAGGAGGGAGGTGAGGACTCAGCCTGGTGTGATCAGCAGCCCCCAGCCCCCAGCCCCCAGCCCCAGGTCAGGCTGGGAGCTACCTTCACGGTGTGGTCATCTGCGGCCGACGCCAACCACTTCCCATCGGGGCTGAACCGGAGACACCGCACGGCCTGGCTGTGCCCCTGAGAGGACACAGCATGAGCTCACCCTGGGATCCTGGGCCCAACAGACCTCTCCCTGCCTCCTCACTCCTATGGGACCCCTTCTATGTAACGACACTGGTTATCCACCTGGTTCTGTAGGGAGCAGTTTGATGAACGTGGCTCTAGGGGATTCATGAAGAGCCAGGGGATCCAGGTGGGCCACCCATGGCACTCCTGCTCGGCTCCAGATCCATGTTTTATGTTCTCACCCATGTGGGACAGCTGTCCCCTCCATCCCCTGCCGGGGTCTGGGCACCACGCCACAC